GATCGGGGACAAAGAGTGGAGCTGGGGGATCAGCTGTCCCGGAGGCACCCATTAGAATGTGGAGTGCCTCAAGGGGCAGTGCTGTCCCCGATGCTTTTTAACATCTATATGCACCCTCTTGCGCAGATTGCCCGGCGGTATGGGCTGGGTTGTCACCAATATGCGGATGACACCCAGCTCTATCTGTTGTTGGACGGCCAGTCTGACTTCAACCTGGAAGACCTAGGCCGGGCGTTACAAGCTGTGACTGGTTGGCTTAGGCTGAGCCGGCTAAAATTGAATCCGATGAAGACAGTCCTGTGCCTGAGTTGGAGTGGTCCGAGGGTAGGGATCCCGCTCCCAACCTTCGATGGGGCACCACTTGTGCCAGTGCCAAAGGTTAGGAGTCTGGGAGTGCTCCTAGATGCCTCCTTAACAATGGAGGCCCAGGTAGCAGCCACTGCCAAGTCGGCCTTTTACCATCTTCGGCTGATTAGGAAGTTGGTTTCCTTCCTTGAATGCAATGACCTCGCAACAGTGATCCATGCTATGGTCACCTCAAGATTGGATTACTGTAATGCCCTCTACATGGGGCTGCCCTTATCATAAATCCAGAAGCTGCAGCTGGTGCAAAATGCCGCGGGCAGGTTGCTGATGGGAATCCCAATTTGGGAGCACATTCGACCTGTGCTAAAGACAATGCACTGGCTGCCTATGGCATACCGGGTTCACTCTAAGGTGCTGGTTCTTACCTTTAAAGCCCTTTATGGCCAGGGACCTGCATACCAGGGAACTGCATGCTTTTCCCCACATGTACCCCAGAGGACACTGCGATCTGGGACCCAGAATCAGCTGGCTCTCCCGAGCTTTAAGGAGGCCAGACTGGTGGTAACTAGGGCCAGGGCTTTTTAGGTGGTGGCTCCACTCTGCTGGAATGAGCTCCCAGAGGAGACCAGGGCCCCAGTTCCACAGGGCCTGTAAAACTATTCTGCCAGGCCTTTGGAGCCGCCACCACTAATACTACTAATACTCTACTGCCAACAACTATGCTGGCAGAACCCTGGCCCACTGGTCCCTTAAACAGTGCTTGAGCCAATCACCCTAGACAGCCGCAGAAGGCCGAAGAGCTAACTGTAAAGCGAAGAATGTTGCTAGCACTTTATCATGTTTGTGTTTTAACATTGTACTTTTTAATTTATGTGATTTTATGTGATCATATTTTGGAATTTTATTCTATTTGTAAGCCACCCTGAGCCGGCCTGGGCCGGGAGGGCGGGATAAAAATCAAATAAATACATAGTGCAAGCCAAGGCCCTTGTGGACTTGGGTGCCTGCAGCTGTTTTACCTCCCTCTCCAGCTCCCCATCGCATCCCCTTGTGCACCAAAGTGACCCTTGTGTGAGGGGAAGCCATAGATGGTCACCTCCTGGCCTTGGGACCAGTCCCCCAAGAGATGCTTATCAAACACAATCCCAACATCTGCTGGACATGTTGAACTCCCAGTTTCCAGTCAGTATGTCCTCACAAAGACCAACCCTAGTTGGTCAATTGAAACCCCACCGCCAGTACATTCTTAACTCCTGACCAAATATATGGAATTTCTGAATGTGTTTGGGGTCAAAGAAGCAGATCAGTTCCTGCCCCATTGCCCTATGACTGAGCCATTGATTTGATACCTGGAACCCCTGCCTGTGGGTTGCTTGTACTCTTTGTCAGAACTCGAGCTAACTGCTCTGTGAGACTTCCTGACCAAAAACCTTCAGGAGAGGTTTGTACGTCTGTCGAACTGTGGTGAACTGCATCTCTGCAGTAACTATGGACACTGACCAAAATCACCATCAAGAACCGTTACCCCTGCCTCTGATCCCTGAGTTGTTAGAATGGCTCCAGGGAGTGTCCATTTACATCTCACTGGATCTCTGTGGAGCACACAACCTCATCCGTATCCAACAGGGCATTTAATGGAAAATACCATTTTGTACCTATTATGGCCAGTACAACTATCTGGTCATGCCCATCCAACTCTGTAATGCAGCTGCAGTATTCCAACATTCCATGATTAACGTCTTCTATGACCTATTGGACCAATATGTCATAATATAGACTTCCACCTGATCACCTTGACTCCTTCTGCTCAAATACACTGGTCTGCTCAAAGAGCACCCTGGACAGCCCCATGTGATACAAATTAATCTTCAGTATTAGTATAGCTGTACTTTCAGCTCTTTTTCACTCCAAGCAAGCAATAAAATGGACATATGTAAATTCAGATTATAAATCAAACTACCATATATCTTTGTAGTTAGTAACTGGTATAAAGAATTTGCCTTGATTTAATTTTAATTGCAAAGTCTTGAAAGCACATTATACTGTACATTAACAAGTGCTTAGCCATGACAGAAAGAACAAAGTCAACCTCCAATGAAGACAAATGTTTCAGTTTCTTGTTTATGTCTTAATCAGTTTGTGCTGGAAGGCAATTATTAGTCCTAGTTTTCATAAGCTATTTAAAGGCTTGATGGATGAACAGTTGCCACATTCAAAAGGTAACTCTACTTTTTCTGTTTTCATTTCAAAGTAAAACAGAAGAATGAAAAGAATGAAATAGTTTCTTTTCTGCATACTCCTATGATGTACTTGTTGTTGTTCAATCGCACAGTCGAGTCCGACTCTTCGCGACCCCATGGACCAGATCATGCCAGGCCTTCCTGTCTTCCGCCGTCCTCTGAAGTTGGCTCAATTTCATGTTCATTGCATCTTTGACACTGTCTAACCATCTCATCCTTTGCCGTCCCCATCTTCTTTGACCTTTAGTCTTTCCCAGCATCAGGATCTTCTCCAGTGAGTGCTCCCTTCTCATTTGGTGGCCAAAGTATTTGAGCTTCAGTTTCATTATCTGGCCTTCTAGGGAGCAGTCAGGGTTGATTTCTTTTAGGATTGACTGATTTGATCTTCTTGCAGTCCAAGGGACTCTCAAGAGTCTTCTCCAGCACCATAGTTCAAAAGAATCTATTCTTCAGCGCTCGGCCTTCCTTATAGTCCAACTCTCGCAGCCATACATGACTACTGGGAATACCATTGCTTTGACCATGCGGACTTTTGTTGGCAGGGTGATGTCTCTACTTTTTATCATGCTGTTTAGGTTCGCCATCGCTTTCCTCCCAAGGAGCAGGCGTCTTTTAATTTCATGACTGCTGTCACAGTCTGCGGTGATCTGGGATCCCAGGAACGTGAAGTCTGTCACTACTTCCACGACTTCCCCTTCTATTTGCCAAGGAGTGATGGGGCCAGATGCCATGATCTTAGTTTTTTTGATGTTGAGCTTCAAGCCCACTTTTGCACTCTCCTCTTTTACCCTGAGCAAGAGGCTCTTTAGGTCCTCTTCACTTTCTGCCATTAGAGTGGTATCGTCTGCATATCTGAGGTTGTTGATCTTTTTCCCAGCAACCTTAATTCCCACTTGTGATTCATCCAGGCCAGCATTTCGCATGATGTACTCTGCATATATATTAAATAAGCAAGGTGACAATATACATCCTTGTCGTACTCCTTTTCCTATGCTGAACCAATCAGTTGTTCCATATCCGGTTCTAACTGTTGCTTCTTGACCCTTATACAGGTTTCTCAAGAGACATGTAAGGTGGTCTGGTACTCCCATCTCTTTAAGGACCTGCCATAGTTTGTTGTGATCCACACAGTCAAAGGCTTTAGCATAGTCAATGAAGCAGAAGTAGATGTTTTTCTGGTACTCTCTTGCTTTCTCCATAATCCAGCGAATGTTGGCAATTTGATCTCTAGTTCCTCTACCTCTTTGAAACCCAGCTTGTACTTCTTACCATCATGTATTTGTCAAGTTTACCACTCAGCCAAAACTGAAAAATATGTTTGGTTTTCATTTGTGTAACATTGTCATTATTCTTTTGTCAGTATTTTGTAAACAAATTTCTTAAGTTAGGGGTTAGACTGTATCTGGAATTCAATGACTGGAAATCCAACCATGATTTGGCCTGAAAAATCAATTGGGGGAGGGGGGGGCAGTAGGGAAGAAAAAAAGTATAATATTGGTAACTGGTTTTTGTTTGTTTTCATCCTAGTGGGGATTAAATCAATCAGGAAATTTCACTTTTGATCAGAAAAATAGTACACTGGCAATGAGTGAACACCTCCTACTCCAGCATTACGGTTCCAATCAATATTGGGGGCATCCCATGGCTATGTTTTGGGGCCAGATTCCATTCATTGTACTTCAGCATCACATATCATTCACTGGGTTTTTCCCCCCTCTAAATTCACCTGTACGTATAGAAACTCGTGAAAATCAGCAGACCCATACCCTTTCATATATCTATCACTCAGACCTGTCACGAGTACACCACTCGCACTGCCTGTTTACATTTTTGTATATAGAAAAGTTATCTTAGAAATCTCACATACCTTGTGCTCCATGCACACATACAGCCTAATTTGTGACTGTTTTCCCTCTTTGCTCAATCTGTTCCTGGATCCTGTTGCAGTGACAATTTAATTATTTAGAAATCAAAATGTTTATGCAGATTTTATTGCACTGCAAGTAGGAGAGTCAGAAGCAAAAGGAACCTCAGAGATTGCTGCCCAGGTTTGCCTATGGGTTTTATCTCAATTTCATGTCTCTTTGGGAATAAAGTAGCAAAACTACCTGTACAAAGTATCTGACATACGGAGTTTTGACTCTCAAAAGCTTGCACCCCCCCAAAAAAATCATGTTAGTCTCTAAAGTGCCACTGGACTTGAGTCTAGCTCTTCTGCTGCAGACCAGTACGGCTGCCCTCCTGAAACTACTTGTCCAAATATTGTGCTTATTCTTTCATTTGGGCCATCATCCATCTTTCTAAATGATGGTAAGCACTTTAAAATGGGTATTGTTGCTGTTCAAAATAGGCAACAATGAAGGTAACAGGAAGCTTTGTTAAAAGTGAAATCATGTATGCAAACAAAATGTACATGTAATTGAATGATTTTTTTCTTAATAATATAATCTGTAGAAAAAGAAGCAAGCTGTAGAAGATGGAAGACAGGAGGCTGAAAATACTATAAAAGAAGCAAATGATATCCTTAATGAGGCTAATGACCTTGTAAATGGAATCAATTTAGCTGTAGAGGTAAGTTGGTGTACTAGCATAGTAAGTCAGATTTTCATAAAACTGATGTAGAGAAAATCAAAGTAAATCAAAGTATTTACGAAAACTACAGTATTGACACTGCAAACCATGGACTGGATCCAATGAACCATGAACAAAACAAGTTAATAAGAGTTGATTTCTCTCTTCTCTACATGCCACTTCCTGTAGCTTCACAATGAGCTGTAATGTTAGGGGTGGGCTGCAATAATAACTGGAAATTGGCATAAATTGTACACACACATCCCTTTTGTAATATCTCCTGTTCTGCTCATGGAAGATAACTTGTTACTTATATTTCTGTGAGTGAGATTTTAATAGGTTTTAGTTATTGTATGCTGCTTTGAGTCCTGCTGTTCACAAGAAAAGCAGGACATAAATATTCTAATTAAATATTTATTTATTATTTGTTTACAAAATTTTATACCCTGCCTTTCTGTCCTCATCATGGCCAACAAGGCAGCTAACAGATTAAAAATACACATAATAACACATCTCAAAAACCATTAAACCAGAATAAAAATTTATCATTCAAATAATTAAAACCAAGTTAACGTAAACATGTCATACAATAATATGTTGTTGTTGTTCAGTCGCACAGTCGAGTCCTACTCTTCATGACCCCATGGACCAGATCATGCCAGGCCTTCCGGTCTTCCACCATCCTCTGAAGTTTGCTCAACTTTATGTTCATTGCATCTATGACACTGTCTAACCATCTCATCCTTTGCCGTCCCCGCCTTCTTTGACCTTCAATCTTTCCCAGCATCAGGGTCTTCTCCAGTGAGTGCTCCCTTCTCATTTGGTGGACAAAGTATTTGAGCTTCAGTTTCATTATCTGGCCTTCCAGGGAACAGTTAGGGTTGATTTCTTTTAGGATTGACTGATTTGATCTTCTTGCAGTCCAAGGGATTCTCAAGAGTCTTCTCCAGCACCATAGTTCAAAAGAATCTATTCTTCGGCACTCGGCCTTCCTTATAGTCCAACTCTCGCAGCCATACATGACTACTGGGAATAATATACATGTACATTAAAAAAAACAATTAAAAACAGGACAGGAAGGAGGGAACACCAGACAAAACAAAAGAAAAAAGACAGCAACAGAAGGGCACAGGCCAGAGTCTCTGGGGATAAAGTTGCAGAGCTTTGGTACCACAACTGAGAAGTCCCTCTCCTGGTGATTTGCCCCCCACCTAATCTCAGAATGCAGGTGCACCAGAAGCAGGGCCTCAGAAGATGGCTGTAGCTGTTGGGTAGGTTCATTCATAAGGGAGTCGGTGGGGATATTTGTGCAAGAGAGAAAGGGAATATTCTGAGGAATATTCAGCTTGTAAAATCTAAGGATTAAGACAGATAGATATTCTGGTTAAAAGGACATTTATTTTCAGGTTAGAAAATGTGTGTTCAAATACTCGTTCACCACAGAGTAGTTTACAAACAAGTTTGGGTTGTCATCTCATCCTCTGCCTTCAGCAAAGCCTCTTCCTGCGCTCTGCAAAGCAGCCACCTGGGCTCAGCTTTCCACCTTTGAGAGGCACTATGCCCTTGATTTCAGAGGCAGAGCAGATGTATCATTTGGCAAAGCAATGCTCAGCTCTCTTTTCTCGTGAAATCTCCCATTCCCACCTCCAGGTCGGTCAGCTTGCTAGTTGCCTTTAACTTTTTGCACCATATTCTTACATTTTGGAAGAAACTGAGTGGGGAAGCATGACTCTTACCCCTTGGTCATATGCAGATGAAGCTGCATCTCTGAAGGTGTGTATTTTCATGCCTAAAAGATGCTCTAGAGGTTTCTGAGCTGTAGCTCTGCACAGGCACAAAGTGTAAATACACAGATGACCATTTGAAGAACAATAGTTACAGGTAAGCAACCTGTTCCTATTAGATAATTATAGACAATCAGATTAGCACAGATTATTTACACTTGAAGATGTATACACATGAACATTTAGCAAGTGGTAATTTTTTTGTTGTTTAGTCGCACAGTCAAGTCTGACTCTTCGTGACCCCATGGACCACTTCATGCCAGGCCCTCCTGTCTTCCACCAACCTCTGGAGTGTGCTCAATTTCATGTTCATTGCATTGATAACACTGTCCAACCATCTCATTCTTTGCCATCCCCGTCTTCTTTGACCTTCCATCGTTCCCAGCATCAGGGTCTTCTCCAGTGAGTGCTCCCTTCTCATTTGGTGGCCAAAGTATTTGAGTTTCAGCTTCATTATCTGTCCTTCCAGGGAACAGTCAGGGTTGATTTCTTTTAGGATTGACTGATTTGATCTCCTTGCAGCCCAAGGGACTCTTAAAAGTTTTCTCCAGCACCATAATTCGAAAGCATCTATTCTTTGGCGCTCAGCCTTCCTTATGGTCCAAGTCTCGTGGTAAACCAGTTGTATATTTTGTATTATTCAGCCAAGTGATAAAGAAGATTGTAATATATCAGATGCAGTATGTGATAAAATGGTTGTCATATCCACCCAAACAAGAGTTTTATCAAGCAGTTACAAACACACCAATCAAATTACCATGGAGTGAATGGTTTTCTGTATCTCTCCCCCATTTCCCAATAATCCAGAGCTAACCTGCACAAAAATAGTTTAAAAACTCCATTGTATTCCTGCTTTTTTTTTAAGTACTGAAGCAGTTTCATACATAGTGGATTCCATTAAGGAAATGCATGAGAATTGGTTCATAGACTATTGTTGTTCAGTTGCACAGTCAAGTCCAACTCTTCGCAACCCCATGGACCACATCATCCCAGGCCCTCCTGTCTTCCGTCGTGCTCTGGAGTTTGTTTAATTTCATGTTCGTTGCATCGATAATATTGTCTAACTATCTCCCTGAGAATCAAAGCCTTGAATCACTGGATAATAATAAACAGATGATTGTAAGGCCATGGGGGGAAAAGAACAGAAAGCTTATATTCAATTGCCTAAACTTTCTTTTTTTGTGTGTGTTTCTCAGTATGTTGATGATGTTCGGGACAAAATAGGTCCATTGTCTGATGAGCTAAAGGACAAAATAGATGATCTGTCTCAAGATATCAAAGACAGGAGACTTCCAGAAAAAGTGCTGGAGGCAGAGAATCATGCAGCACAACTGAATGATTCATCTGCAATACTGGATGGGTATGTTACCCATGAGTTTGTAATTTTTTATTGTGAAATAGAATATTCCGTTAAATCCTCTTAATAATAAAAGGATGTTGAATATTTTATTCTAGAATAAATGAAAGGCTGTGGCAGGTCAAACTACGTAATTATCCATTTAGATGTGCATTCTGTTCCACACAGTGCCAACCTGATGTCCCTGGAAGGACCATAAGTAGAGCTCAGAGCCCAAATCCCTCCCCCATTGTTGCTTGCTAGCACTGGTGCTCTTAGGGTTGTTTCCTCTAAGCCTGTAGGTTCCATTTAGTCATTATGGCTACTACTCATTGATAAACCTCTCTATCACTGCATCATTGTGGTCTTTCCCAAGTTGAAATAACAACTGTCCAGTCATTCCCAAATACAAGACATAGGGCCCAAGTTGTGATGTTCAGCCTTGTCTTCAGTTTCATGGCAATCAGCTAGAAAGGAATCATAGAATCACTGAGTTGGAAAGAGCCATATAGGCCATCTAGTCCAACCCCCTACTCAATGTAGGATTAGCCTAGAGAATCCCTAACAAGTGTTTGTCCAACCAATGCTTAAAGACTGCCGGGGGGGAGGGGAAGCTCACCACCTCCCTAGGCAGCTGATTCCACTGTTGCACAACTCTTATTGTAAAAAAAGGTTTTCCCTAAGATCCCGCCCTTAATTTAAACCCATTATTGCCAGTCTTATCCTCTGCTGCCAACAGGAACAGCTCCCTGCCCTCCTCTAAGTGACAGCCCTTCAAATATTTAAAGAGAGCAATTATGTCCCCCCTCAACCTCCTCTTCTCCGAACTAAACATTCCCAAGACTCTCAGCCTTTCCTCATAGGGCTTGGTCTCCAATCATCCTTGTCACTCTCCTCTGCACCCGCTCCATTCTGTCCACATCCTTTTTGAAGTGAGGGCTCCAGAAATAAAACTAGGTTATTCTGAAACTTCTGGCAGCTTGGACTATCAGAGACTTAAATATGCCTCTGACACCACAATTCACCTGTTGTGTGGACTGGCCTTAGGCAGTGCGAGGATGTTCATTTTTTTTCTGACAAGAACCAAGTTGGTGAGTTTAAATTGACTATACACATTGAAGGTTTTGTGGTTTTGTTGTACTTTTTAAAAGTTGTGATGTCTTTTAAATCCCAACAGGATCCTCGATGAAGCGAAAAACCTCTCATTCAATGCCACAGTAGCTTTCAAGGCATACAGCAACATCAAGGACTATATTGATGAAGCTGATAGAATTGCGAAAGGAGCTAAAGCCCGTGCCAATGAAGCTATACGACTGGTAAGAGAAAGTGAGAATCTCTTAAACCGGGGGAAATAAAAATACTTTCTCACCAGTCAGAGTCTGAAATACTTGTTCAGGATCCGCAAGTAAATTCATTTCAGGCCCCATTTACATTATCTAAAAAAACATAGATTCCATTGCATTTCTGGTTGTTTTAATACTTCACTGACTAGCATCTGAGTCTGCATTCAGATTATTATGGCAGACAGGGCTGCTAAGAGAGAGGGACTAGGAGGGTGACAAAATTCAGGCAGTCCAAGTCAGCTGGAGGGCCCCTGAAGCCAATGTCATGCCGTGTTCACCAAATGTATTTTTTAAAAAATCCCAAGGCAGTTCTGACTGCAGTCATCAGGAGCTCAGGGAAGGGAGAGCCTTTTTGCCAAGTTTACTACTAGGCTGAGGGAAACCATTTGGTGATCAGATCCTGCTAAACCCATTAGCCAAGCCAGCACTGGAGCAAGGCAAGACCAGCCAGGACACGCTAGTCATTGCCAGGACTCAAACTCCTCACAGGCTCATTATCTATGGTTTCCCTCCTTCTTTAGTTGCACCCAGCTCCTGCACAGCCATATCTTGCAAAGGGGCAGAGTGTGGTAGCAACCCCCCTCCCAAAGAACTCTTTTTTGTCTTTCCTACATTTCCCTAACACTGGTCCCGTTCACACTCACCGATTTGGTCCGGGAGCGGGACAGTTTGGGGCCGGATCAAACCGGCGCAATCACACCACAACATCTGGGAAGTGTCCGGCTTCCGTACCCAAACTGTCCCTTTCCCGGGATGAGCCGGCGCAAACTGAACCACCTACTTTGGTGGTTTAAAGGGAAGCGGCACGGCAACCGGGGCGTTTGATCGCTGCCGCTTCCCTGCGCCGGCTCAACCCCGGCCCGGATCCGACGTGGGATCCCGCCGCGCCGTGTCAACGTTGGCGCGGCTTTTCAAAGCCGCGCCTTAAAGAGGCCGTGTGGCAGGGGCCACTGTTGTAAATTTTTTTCATACTTTCCTCCTCCTTTGTTTTGCTCTCTTAAAATGTATTTAACATTATACCCCTCTGAGGTCCCTCCCCTACTCAAACTCCACCCTCCCCATTTGTCTATCTCCACTTCTAATCCCACCCCCCCAATTTTTCAGTTTCAACTCTTCATCTATCCTGCTTGGCAATTTATAATGTATTTAATAGTAGTATAACAGCAAACCTTTGTTACTATTATGAACAGATCGGAGGGGAGTTAATATTGTCCCATAATCTATTAAACTAGTAAAACCGTACTTCCCCTCCACCGCCCTTTACATGCGTAATAGTAGAATGTTAATCTGTTTTAGTAACAAATGAGGAACAGAAGTTAGAATGTGTTTATTGACTTTATTTATATCCTGCCTTTCTTCCCAAGGGGGACCCGAAGTGGCTTACATCATTCTCATTCCCTCTGTTTTACCCTCACAACAGCCCTGTGAAATAGGTTAGGTGGAGAGTGTGTGACGGGCCCAAGGTCACCCAGCAAGCTTCCATGGCATAGTGGGGATTTGCACCTGGGTTTCCCAGATCCTAGTCCAACACTACACAAGCTTAGCTTCCATTACAAATAACATGGGGGGGGGAGATCTGGAGATAACCTGGGCCAGGATATTCCAGTACCTTCATTTTTAAAAAATGTTTCATATGTGCATGCACATGTGTGAGTGTGTGTGCACCTGGAAGTCATGGTGACCTTTGGTGACTGACCCCTACTGGGGGCCTGGAGGATGTTATGAGAGGTGGCCCCCACCTCCTGACTGCTGGTATTCCAAGGAGGTCTCCCATGCAAGTACTTGCCAGGGTCGACCCTGCTTAGCTTCTGAGATCTGACGGGATCGGGGTTTCCTGGGCTATCCAGGTTCCAGCAGTTCCTTTTATTTTTGGTCGCGGAACTCCCACCATCATCCTGAAGTTGGTGGTCAATTTTGAGATTTTTAGTTTTATTTTCAGATAAACTATGCCTGCCACAAATGGACAAACAGATGGACATGTGGATCATTTTGTTATTATAGATGGGTGGTAAGAGCCAGCAAAATTATTTGTTTTGTTCTGATATTTGGTTTGGATCAGGGTCATATGTGAAGGCTCATGGTGGCTCTCAGCAGCCCTGATGGCAGATTATATAGTTTTATACCATAGTGGTGACATCTTTAAGGTGACTGGCAACCCTACTAGTCCAGCATCCTGTCTCACACAGTGGCCAACCAGTTCCTCTGGGTGGCCAACAACAGGGCATAGAGGCTCTTCCCCACTGTTGCTTCCTGGCTCTGGGATTCAGAGGTTTAGTGTCTCTGAATGTGGAGATTCCCCTCAGTCACCAGGGCCACTGATAGACCTATCCTCCATGAATCTATCTAATCCCCTTTTAAAGCTACTTTTTCCTGTGACTGTGTAAAGGAATATTTCCTGAACCAACTGCTCATCAGCTCCATTGGATGCCCTCGAGTCCTAGTATTCTGGGAGAGGAACAAAAATTTCTCTTTGTCAACTGTCTCCATCCCATGCATAATTTTATAAACCTCTATCATGTCCCCCCTTAGTCAGCAATTTTCTAAACTGAAGTCCCAGACTGTTCAGCCTTTCCTCATAGGAAAGGTTCTCTAGCACCATAATCATCTTGGTTGCCATCCTCTGTACTTTTTCCAGCTCTGCAATGTCTTTTTTGAGATACAGTGACCAGAACTGTACACAGTATTCCAAATGAGGCCACACCATCTCTCCTTATATATAAAGCCGTAGTCCAACATTCCAAAATGCACTCCTTTAGTGTTTGGCCGGAAGAACTGCCACTCAGAAGACGCTGGCTGGGTTGACTGGCTGCTTGTGCAGTCCCGCCCAGCGTTTCAAGGTCTTTTGCATATGGAAGCTGATTGGACCTCACTCCATTCCACACCTCAAACTCCCCCCCCCCCAGACAGTTGGAATATGGGACCTGGTGTATTCTGAGGAGGATGTCAGCTGCTTTGGTTCCCACTGCAGGGAAAAACTGCCCTTTCCCTTGGCAGAGGCTGTGGGGGGACAAGCTGTTGCCAGTCTCCAGGTGACAGCTGGAGAGCTCTTAAAGCTTTGGTGCTAATTCAAAGTGTTGCAATTTATTGACAGAGTAGTGTTTTGGAAAATCTTTAGGAATTGTTTGGTGCATTTACGATGGGGCTCCTGGGGAACTATTGTTGCCAATCTTGGCCCAGCAGCCATCAAACCATTCTCTTCAACCCCCTGCTGTGCAGCTGACTTTCCCCTAGGGTTGCCAATCTCCAGGTGGGACCTGGAGATCTCCCACTGTTACAATTGATCTCCAGATGACAGAGATCAGTTCCCCTGGAGAAAATGGCTGCTTTGGAGGGTAGACCCTATGACATTATACCTGCTGAGTCCTTCCACCACCCCCCGCCCAATGCTACCGTCTACAGAATCCACCCCCCAAACCTCCAGGTATTTCCCTCCTTAGAGCTGGCAACCCTACTTTCCCCTCAGTGCCTGTTGGTAGGCAACTAAGCTTGGTCCTGTCACCTACTTTGGCCTTTGGGAGAAAACACATTGGGGCCAGTCCTGATAGGATTGCCAACTCCAGATGGGAAATTCCTGGAGATTTGAGGGATGGAGCCTGAAGAGGGTGAGGTTTGAGGAGGGTTGGGACCTCAGACAGGTACACTGCCATAGACTCAACCCACCAAACCAATCAGTCCCACATAGGGAACCATTGTTGCCAATCTCCAGGTGAGGGCTGGAGAGCACTCAGAATTACAACTGCTCTGCAGAAAGGAGGGCAGAAGTCAGCTGAAGTCAAAGGGGCAGATAATGGTAGGTTGATGGTTAGCTGGGAAGGAGATGGGGTTGCCAACTCCACCCTCCAAACCAGCCATTTTGTCCTGGGTAACAATTGCTGCCAATCTCCAGGTGAGGGCTACAGATCACTCACAATTACAACTGCTCTTCAGGTAGCAAAGATCAGTTCCTCTGGAGAAAACAGTGGACTCTGTCATTATACCCTGCTGAGGTCACCACAGCAAATTGACACTGTTTGCCCAAAGCCAGAGCACTCCCCCAGAGCCTCTTTCTAGATCTCGTTGTATTGCTTTCACAACGGACTTTACTGCTAGTAGATCTATAAAGGGGCATTATGATATTAGCTGTTTTATTCTCAAACCCTTTCATATAATCCCTAACATAGAGTTTGCCTTTTTCACCACTGCAGCACACTGGGTTGAAACTTTCATTGACACTTTCAATTTGGGGCTATTCTCGGGAGAGGGGGTTCCTAGATTTTTCCTGGAGTCACACTTTCAATTTCAGGTTATTCTCAGGGCCTTTCCCCCCTTTGATTTATGAGTCCATTGTTTCCTCTGGGGGGCAAGGAGACTTCTGGGGGTCTGGAATTCTGAATCTGGATTTTATCTTTTTTCACATCTCTACAAACCATAGTTTGAAATAACATGTACAAGCATTTTGGACCTTCAATGAGCTAATAAATTATCTTGCACTTGCAGAGGAAAGCCTCTGGTTGTCATGACTGGCAGTGCCATAGCATGGCTTGGTGTGTGTAAGAAGTTGTACATAAATGATATACTCCATGTGTGATGGCCCTGTCTACTTCCCTCCCTCAGAGGCAAGATTTTCCCTCCATTTTTCTTTCCTATTACTGACTGAGCCGCCCTAGTAACGTGTTTTCTTCTTTACTGAAGAACTCTGGCTGTCCCTGCCACAGTACAATATTTTGGCTGTTGACTCAGCCCAGGAACCTTAGGGAAGGATCAAGAGCCCACCTTAACTTAAACAACTTAAATGGCACTTAAGGCATTTTGAAAATCAAAAATAACAAAATATTTTATTTAACATAGAAGGGAAAGGTCAGGTGAAATCAGGGAATGAAAATTTCTGAGGTAAAATCAGTACATGCACAGACTTTAGTTCTTATGTTTCAGGATAAGAGTTTCTTAAACTATTTGGAGTTACTTAAATCTTTATGTTGAGAGGCTTTTGTTTC